AGCTACAAGTACACACTTGTTGCAATTCGTGTTTGGTACTTCAGTTCCGATGACCTCGCTGGCGAGCCGCTTTTCTTCGACGCCTGGCACCGGGGGCCAGGCGGTGATTCACTTCCGTTGCTTCCCCTTCTTCGGAGGCGGCCGTTTTCGTGTGCGGTTTGGGCGGGAGCCGAACTCGGTGGGAGACCGCTGTTCTCAACGCAGGGAGTCTGGTGGAGTCTGCTGAGCGGTCACCTATTTAGATGATTTCGATGCCCTTTACTTGGGATGAGTCCCAAAGGTTTTGAAGTAGGGAGATCTAGCAACAGACCCCCTGGAAGAAAGGAAATAGACCCGTTTGCCCATTGGTTGGACGTCTGCCTGAACATATATACATTCCACAATGGTGTTTTCCTGAGTTCGTTTGACAATAAACAAGACGAAGCACTATTTGGGTGTTCAGGCACAAGGCAACCAAGTAGCCGCTGTTTCGGACAGACCAACCGATCATCGGTGAATGTCTTGACCAATCGAGGCCAGTATCCTCTTGCGGCCTTCTCTCTCTATGCGGCGTTACCTCCCAGTCTTGCTGTGAGAACCTGAGGATGGGAAACATCTATCAAGGCTTTGCGGAGTTTGTTTGCTGTTGCTGGTGGTGTTGTTGTTGTTGTTGTTCTATCCCTTTTTGGAGACATGAGACCTGGGATGTTGAAAGAGATCCTCGTCTCCTCGTCCCACAGAATGTGCTCGCCTTTTGGAGTGCTTGCTCGCGAATCCTACGGGAGTCTTTGGGAGTGGGGGGGGGTTCGACCACCCACCTCAAAACTGCACATTGACATGTTTTACTTGCAAAAACCGCTGGCAGATGGCCGAACTGAGCCGCACGTGTGGCGCGATGGTCTTGACATGACCAAACCACGAACATCAGGTGCAGGACGACTTGCGCTTCATCATCGTGGCGGGGCCCTTGGGCCAGCGAGAGCCTCAGAGCTCACAAATGCGGAAGACGCAGGTGAACAGATGTGTTAACAGCATAGGTGAACCGCATAGCATGACAGGTTTTATATCGTTGTGTCCCACTTCTGGTCACTTCATGGCATGTTTTTTGCGTTAAGAGGAGCTACCAAGTGGTGAATTATGGCGCCATAGTCATATCGCTTCCATCACTTGCAGCTCCTGAAATCACGAAACGTGTATATGAAATATCATGAAGATCACCTCAAATGGCAGCAGCTCCCGTCAGTAGACTTAGATACAAGCTATGCCTCGAGGAACTAGCTGTCCAAGAACGATCAAGATGCAAAGCATCACTGTAGCCTGTTGTTGGGCAGAGGCTTACATAACTGATAAGTCTGTGTATATATGCAAAACGACCTCACTATGGTACAATGACAGAACACCCTCACTAGGGGCCTTTATTTTGTGTTTTGATCTTCCACGTCAAAACGGTTTCCTGGAAGACCAGTTTCCTGTAAACAACGACGGTAGTTCGGGGTAACTCATGGGAAACCCTACATTCCTAGTTACTAACACGGAAGTGGAAACAACCTGTTTGTAGAGGAAATGGACATTCTACGCGGCATGGTCCACTTCGATGATAGTTTCAGGGAGTGTATGCTAATTCAGTGGATCTTGATTAATAATCACTCCTATTGGGATTCAATCACCTCTTCATATGGCGAGTTTATTAGTCAGGATTATTGTTTAATCCACCAATTATTGTACAAAAAAAGACTGTTTGGATTCCAACAATAATCAAACAAACCTGGGATGATTCCAACCACTTCTGTTTATTGATCAAGATCCTACATGATGTGTTCTACCTTCATGGCTTCCAACCACTCCTTTAATGCGAGGCCGTGTGCTGCGGCGGCCCGAGCGTTAGCCGCCTTCTTGCAAAAGCGCTTTCCGCAGGCTCCGGGCGGAGGAGTTCGGAATCCGATCATGTTTGCGCTAAGAGAAGCTACTAGGAACAAGTGCATCGCTTCTAGTAACTAGTAGTAACAATGTTTGCTATTAGAATATAGCTGCAATGTTTTCATGTTTGGGCCTTAGGTAGATGGTCAAGCGCGGGTCCACAGCGGTCGGATCCAGGCCAGCGTGGTGGAGAAGTTCAACGGGTCGGCTCCAGAGGGTCTACTCTCCGAGGAGAGGTTTTCAGACAGAGTGAAGGTGGAGAGGAGGTTGTTTGGGGAGTGGGAGGCGTGGGAGTGGAGAGTGATGGCTGGGGAATGGAGTTTGGGTTGCGGTTTTGGATGTCTTTTGGGGTTTGTTGGGGTTGGAAAGGACACTTGGAGTGTCAAGAAGATGTAGGTGGACATGGATCGACGTGGGTAGGAGAGGAAGTTAGTCATCCATGTGCGACGGTTGTAGAAAGAAGAGAAAGAATCAAAGGGTGCATCGAGTTAGTTCCTATGAGTTTAAATGGCATCTCCGCACAGGTATAAGCACATATGAACCGCAGCAATATAGATCAATGGCAATGGGTGGAAAAGCTGTGACTTTTGGGAGGCCGTTCCAAGCATCTTGGAAGTACATGAATTCTATCCTCATATATCCTCATAAATAAGTATGTGTGATAGCATGTGATAGCTTTTTGCGTCCTTTCAAAACTTCTTTGCGTATCATTTACGTATGTATTTGTAGCCATGGATCAAGGCCCTGACACTCCACTCCGTTGAAGTTCTTGGTGGCCCATCAAGAGCCAGCACCGGAAAGGACCTCTCTGGCGATGGGGCAGAGGAGGAGTTTGATTTCGCTTTGCAGGCCACAAACGGGTCAGCAAGTCCTGTACGTATTCTGCTAGCAGCCAGCAGGTGCTTCGCCGGCAAACAGCGTCCAACATCTTTAGACAGAATTTGTCAGGACTAATTACTCCTTCTTCAAACATCTTCGAAGATCATTTTTTCAGATGTGTCAGCAATTAAGTGCCCACGCGGCCACAGACAGAGTCTTCGGCGATCGCAAGAGCACAAAAAGAGAAGAATGTGTCGATCAGCACTTTCGGATTCTTTTTGTGTAACGATGAAAGCATGAGACCCAGCAGTCACAAAGGGGTGCTTAATGGAGGTTAGGGGTGCCCATTATCCACTCACTTAGGGACCAAACACCACCCCGTCTTGTGACTCCTGGACAAGGTGTTTTTGTTCTCCATGCTTTGTTCATCACGACGCTTGGCTCACTGGACGAGGTCTACGCTCCCGTGCTCATCCGCTCGCATGGGGCCGAGCGCGCGTGTCGAGCAGACGAGAGCTGGCTAGTGTTCCTTTGGGATGCTGCACAGATGCTGCAGAAGATGAGGAAATGCCGAAGTATGAAGGGAAGTCCACATCCAAATCAAAAGCAAGAATGAAATAGAGCTCGAGATCCCGTGCCGAAATCGAACCGGTTTGCATTTGGATTCCAGCCACCCGCCCTATTTAAACCGGGCTTCCAGATCAAGTTCCTCAGCTTCTTAGAAGCTTGCCAAGCTGTTCTCTCCACAGTGCTTGTGTTTGAGGCCGAGTTCATTTTCTTTGTGGGCGGCACTGGCGCGAAGCGAGGAGCACCAGTTGTACCAGTTGACTGGCTGTCTTCGGCCGAAAGCCTCCGCTGTCTTACTGCAGACAGACACTGCAGACAGACACACACAGACTGGACTTGTTGGGAATCCACCGGACTTGCGTCAGGATCAGCTGGTGATTTCTTCTTGGAATCCACCAGTACGTGGTGACTGGGGTGCCTCGCTTGAAAACTAAGGAGTCGCTGGTGAGTCGGTGGTTGTTTGTAGGGGGAGTAGACTGGAGTTCAAGAAGGTCAAGATGCCAAAAACGTTCTATCCTAGTATTGCTTAAGATAGCTGCCCCTATAGGCTATAAGTAAATTTCAGTACCTTATAATGTTGGAAATTCCTTCTTTCAGGCATTAGAGGAGTCTTTGTTGCCTCGGTCAAATTGATGACTGTGCATGTTCAAGACACGACTGGCGCCAGCAAGGTTGGCGCTGGCCTTCAGCGAATTTCGGCCGGAATTGGCGCTGGGTAGAGGCAGCTACAGGGGTTGCAAGCACGGGCGCCCCCTTGACGTTCTTTGGGATTCTCTTTGGATCTAAGTCTGAGCGGAGTTTAGAGTACAAACATCTTCCTTGTAATTTTTGTTAATGCAAAGGCGAACGCGACAACACCCGCCAGCCTAAGCGCCTCTTTTTTGACAAGCCTTGCTTCGCAGCTAAATCAGATTGTCTTGGGATGTATAAAATCATCACAGTTGCTTGTCCAGCAAGTGACTCAGCAAGTTGGAGAAGTTAATCAGGCGATTTCTGTTGGCTACGGCTACAGTGTCAAGACCTGAGGTTTATGTCAAGTGCCTTTCCGCCCTCACCGGGTGAGGTACCTCTTCTGACAGAGGATGTGGTTGCAGAGCACGGATTCGAGTTCCAGGAGTTGGAGAAATGTGGGAGAAATCGAGTTTCCGAAGACTTCAGAGCTATCCGAAGATTGCTGTCAGCGTTGCACATCATGTCCATGGACAGCTGAAACATGCTGAAACTATGTGCAGTTCTTTGTTCAGCACTGTTTGCGAGTTTCCCTCAGTGCCCCCCTTTGGCTAGAAGTGTACTTGTAGGAGGAAAGGACTCCCCGCTGTTGTTCCTCTCTTTTTCAGCAAAAGAACCCGCCGGGTAACCCTTCTCACGATGGATCCAGATAGACGGTTACCAGGACCGACCAACTGTGTATGGGAAAAGTGTTGCTTGTTCCATCATGTTCCCATGAAGCAGGAGTACTCAGCTTGGGTGAAATGGCTGGAGATGCACTGAGAGCTGTCAAAAAGGAGTTTTTCTTCGCATCCGCGGAAACGGGGCAGATGAGAGCGGTGTTCACATTCGGAGTTGGGTCTCCTCTTGTGCTTCATCTTGCAAGATCCTGGCACTGCCAAGACTTCATGCACCACAACACCGCACATCTCACATCGCGTTCGTGGCAAAGTCCAGCCACAAACCGTTATTCCTTGATGCTGCCTGTTGAACTTGTTTTGTGTCGCCAGGGTGGACTCGATCGTGCGAAGAAAGGCGAGGGGCCTCAATCATGCCACATTGTGACAAGCCTTGTAATTAGGAGGGATGTTCATTGACTTTCCATCTTATCCCGGCGGTGTAAGTGGCGGTGCATTTATCTCTCAGGGTCTGAGAATTTGGAGACACAGTTCCTTTGATTCAAGACCTGAGAGTACACATGCCCCGAAGCCCAAGAATGTCCTCTCCACTGTTCGCTTTGTCAGAAGGTTGACCCGTCCACTGTCAAGCGAGAAGGAAGAACATCAAGCAACACCAGATCCGTATCGCATCTCAGGCTTGTCTCCCCACAAAGACAGCGACGCGTGTTGCAGTTTTCGGTTTGTGCATGGAAATCCATCTTTGCACCAGGCACAAGACCGATACCGCGAGCCCTAAAACACCTTTGACAATGGCCCACACATGTACTATAGCTGTGTTAGTCTGGCATGTGCTGTGCCATGGCGTTTTGTGTGCCACAGCACAAGTAAGTGCACATAGTGCACATGAACGTACTTGGACAAATGTTGCAGCGAGTCAAAGCACTGTAAAACGATATGTGGAAGAAACAGCGATAGGACTCGAGAAGGCTCGAAATGGCAAAGGGAAAGGTAGGTGTTTTAAACAACCTCATGCAGCTTGACGCACAGATCGGATCCGATTCATGAGAATCATCGGTGGACCGTGCAGTATATCGTACAGTCAGCATCAAAGGCGTATGCACCAGTCGCCTGCGATGCTCAAAGCCCCAAGATCATGGATCAAGTCGATGCTTGTCAAGTCATGTCAAGTCACAAACGAATTCTCAAATCCGATACTCAAAGTTCATCAAGAAAACACATCTGCTTACCTCCAAATGCCAGATGAACGTGACGTTCTTTTCTGCCAGATGAGTCGACCCAACTAGTGACCTGGGGTTCTCGGGTCGACGTGGCACTGCCAGGTACACTGAACGGTCAGTCCAATGCCCAGACGGGTGCAGGGCGACAGGTGCTACTTGGGACGAACTCTTGAGATGAACTGTGAAACAGATCTGCTATGAAAGGCATGTAGTTAAACGGAGGAACATGTTTCTTTTTTCACAAGTTCTTCCACTCTTTTTGGATGTTGGCCCGAATCATTCGACATTCCCTGGAGATGAGACGGCAGTGACAAAGGAAAATACGTTGCCTTGAAACGTGATTTGGATCCCTGATGCTCCCTAACCAACATCACAAGGTCTTGTAACATGTTGCTTCCTCCCTTCGATCAGCGAGGATCTTCGAGAATGGAATCAATCTGCCAGCTGAGTTGAGGCACTTCTTCCAACCTTTTTGTGTCCAACAAAAGACCTACCAAACTGCAGCATCATGAATGAACCTGCTTCTGCCTCTTGATGCCTCGTTGATGCCTGCATCGATCGACGGTTGATGAAGACGATAGACACGTCCGCGCTCGGAGCTCTGAAGCTCTCGTGTCCCGTCCTTTTCCTCCACCTTGCCGGAGCCTGAAAAAGAGAAAGGTCCTGTTTGTTTGCCACTCTAGGGAACCAAGGGGAAAAGACCCTTACATACCCTATACCTTCGTTTAATTACCAGGTCCTGAAATACCCTTAGCTTACATACCCTTCCATACCCTTAGCTTCGTTTAAAATCAAGGGTATGACCGTGTTACATACCCTTACATACCCTTACACACCCTTACCATTATTGTGTTTGTTTGTTTTGTTTCAACGAGGCGACGCAAACATCCCAAATCAACCCACAACGGTCCACCGCTCGTTCTCCCGCGCGCCACTGGCCGTTCTCCCGTCGTGCGGTCCGAACGGAACCCCACGAGGTCCTGGGATCCACGGGAACTCATGGCGGCGGCGGCGGCGCCGGGGACGCCCGGGGTGACGTCGACCCGTGAGATGCTGAACCGATCCGGTTCGGGACGACTGGACCCGACCGTTGTGGCACCTACTGGACCCAAGTGTCGAACACGTCGTCTTCTGAGAAGGTACTTGGATCCCTAATAAATCATGTTCATGTTCAATGCAGTCAAGCAACCGTGTCCAATTCTGAGGCAACTGGTTGAAGCACAACAAACAACTGACCTTCGAAATATAGGATCAAGAACCAATACCTGACATATCCAATTAAAAAATCAAATAACATAATATGTGAATTTCCCAAGAAGCATGAGCATGACATGAGCATGGAACCCCAGGAATAGCTGCCACCTCCCTCGCACTTCAGACTCGACTTGCATCCGCAGGGCGCCCTTTCAGGCACAAAAGAGGTGCCATCGGCCGGACCGCCGCGTCTTGGTTTTTGATGGTTAGCGGAGCCCTTTCGTAAAGGGCGACGCCTGGCGCTGACGCTTGCCCGCGCGCGCTTCCTCGAGCGCCCCGCTTGCGCTTCCTGCGCAGCCGGCTGCCGACGGCGGCTGCTGGCTCTCCGAGCGCCCGCTTCGGCCGGTGCTCCACGGCACTACGCTCGGCTCCTTGGTCGCCATGACCCAGCGCTTGGATGTGGACAGGCACGGAGTGCCCCAGTTCAGTGGCGACCCGGAGCTCTACGATGAGTATGAGGAGAGAGCTTGGGACCTTTGGCATGGTCGAGATGGGCAGCCCGCCTTGCAGGCGGTAACCGCAGTGCATCTGCGGGCTGGCTTGAGTGGCCCGGCCTATGAGGCCGTGAGAAAAATGGAACACTCCCGCATCAAGACCAAAGATGCGGATGGCAACCCCACCGACAAGGGCTTAAAGGCTTTTCTTGATGCCTTGAGGACGGCAATTGCAGCAGTGAAGCCCGTCCGCATCAATGAACTCTTCCTCACCGCCTTCTACAGCCCACAGGTTTGGAGGAGACCTCAAGAGTCCATGCAGCAGTACATCATCCGCCGAGAACAGGATTTTCGACGACTTGAAGAAGCTGGAGGTGGCACTTCTGTTCCTCGCAGCTTGAGGGCGATGATGCTGCTGCTCTTCGGTGGCCTGAGTCAGCAAGAGCAGGTTTCAGTTTTGAGCTCGGTGAACAACGAGTACGACTTCGACAAGATCGCCAATGCCATGAGGATTCAGTTCCCACAGGCCAATGGCAAGCCGGTTCACCGACGTGATTTCCTCGGCTGCGGTCGCAGCCCTGCTGCTCGTGACTCAGGAATCCTCTTCCGGAAGGGCTACAAGCCAGGGAAAGGTCGTGGACGACCCCAGCAGATCCTCGCCACGGAAGAAGCCTATGAGGCCTTCGATGATGACATGAATGAGTATGACGACGAGGTCTTCCTAGAGGACGAGGATGAGTATGAGTCCCCGGCCCACGATGGAGCAGAGGCCTTTTGGGAAGATGAGACATGGGACACCTTGGTCCAAGATCTGCCCGACCTCGAGGGCAATGAAGAGGTAGCTGAAGCTCTTGCCACCGTCATGCAGTTCAAGAAGGGCAAGGGCAAGGGAAAGTCGAAGGGAAAGCATTCCTCTTCACCATCGTCGCAGTCCCTGCCATTCAAGGCATCAGGTGACATCTCCTTTGACGCCAAGGCCAAAGAGAACCGGAACACAGCTGTGAAGTTTTTAGAAGTCAGTCACCGCTTGCACCAGCTGTGGACAGAAAGGTCATTGGGTTGGAGATGACGCATGTCCAAACACCCGCAAGAAGAAGATGCCCAAGACCGGTCCGTCACCTCACAAGAAGAAGTTCGAAGGCAAGACCACCTTCTTTGTCTTGCACGACAGCTTGGAGTCCGACGATGAGAAGGACATCAATGCGACTTTCACTGGCCTTGCATCCACTGAGAATGACGTGGCCTTTGAGTACCACAAAGCCCCTGTCGAGCATGAGGTCTCATCGAATGCCTCAGTCTCCAAGTATGACCAAATGCCAAAGAACCTCAACTCCTCTCAGTATGAGCAAGTCCCTGCGGATGAGAAGACTCTCAAGTATGCGCCAGGCATCGTTTTGGATGAGCCCAATGACAAGCATGAACCAGAAGTTGCTCCCACTGGTTCTGGCACCTACATCCAGGACAAGAACACCATCGAGCGCAACTACAAGGACGATGGGCTTGCACCTGGAGCATGTTTCACCTACAATTCTCCTCCAGCACATGAAGTGCTGATGGTGCTGAAAGACACCCAGCTTTGCGAGCACAGCTCCTACTTTGGTGGAAATGAACGTGAATTCCATCGAGGAGCCAACGGTCACACCCGTCACGTGACCTGCAAGGACAAAGATTGCAACCAGACCATCATCGTCGCCAAGAGGAAAGACGCCACTCAACTTTGGCGCTACCTGGTGCAGATCGCTCTGTGCACCAGATGGGGATCAGCAGCTCGATCTCGTGAGCTCTTTGCAAGTGTCTGTCGAGTACGTGATCAGGCCCTCAAGGACGATGAAGATCGACGAGCTTTACAGCCTCCACGCGGCTATCCTCATGTACCGACAACACCTGTCAGCCGCAGGTCAAAGGAGACTTCATCACCTTCCTCACCGTCAACGGCAAGAATCATTCGACCTGATGCACAGCAAGAGCCTCGTCTTTGGGCCTATGGAGTGTTGATCTCGCCAACAGTTGATCTCCCTGCATTTCCGCCCTTGGCAGAGGATGACTATGATGTGCTGCAACCTCTTCCGAGTGATGCTGCAATCTTTGGCCCCGGAACTCCATATGAAGGATACACCTACATCCAGATCGCTTCGTCAGTCGAGGCATCAGTGTACTGCCATCAGACCTTGAGAATGGCACTTGATGACCAGGCCATGTCCCCGGAGACCTACCGCTTCGCCTTCTACCTGTTTGGTCGTGTCCGTCTCCTACATGGATGTGCTATGAGGACATGGAAGGCTGGCATCACTTCTCCCTTGAAGAGGAACACTGATCCCGACGACATGGTGGCCCACAGGTGCATCCGAGTTCCGATCTGCATGCATGAAGGGCATCCCGAGATGGCACAACCTCACGACTTTGAGGTGCTCATGGTCAACCAGGACATCAGCGATCATGAACGACTTGATCTTGAGACAACCTACACCACGAGCTCCCAGGATCCACCTGGACTTGCCATCCTAGACTCAGGATGTACCCGAACCATGCATGGCACCGATTGGGCAAAAGCGTTCGAAGAAGAGCTCGAGAAGCTCAACTTGTCACCACGCAGACGCCTCAAGAAGCAGTCGTTCAAGGGTGTTGGAGGCCAAATTGCAAGTGACACAGTCAAGATCTTTCCGGTCGGCATCAACAAGGTCAATGGCGAGCTACATAGCGCTGAAGCTCCAGGCAGTCTCCCACTTCTATACGACCCTTCATGGAGGAGCTGCAGACCGTGATCAATATTGGTGCATGCACCGTGAGCTTCAACAAGATCGGTGTCACTGACCTCCCATTGGTCAAGACCTCACGCGGTCATTTGGCAGTGAGCCTCCTGGACTTTGACATGGACTCTTTTCAAGATTGCTCCCCAGAGCATGCAACCGAACCTGAGGAGACGCTCACAGCACAGGAGGTCGGCTACCACTCTCCCACTCAGTCTGAGTTTGCTGAGGCCAATGATCCCGACATGGTCCATGACTACCACGGCATGAACCCCGACGACTACCACGATGAGATGATGGCCCGTGATCTGTTCCTGGAAGAAGCTCGTGGCATCCGCCGGCAGCTTGAAGCCGAGGGCATTGATCTGTCACACCAGGACCCCATGAATCAAGGGTTCATCTGTGAGGACGTCCACTTCATTGACGACAACCCTGACCAGTTCCTCGTTCGCAAGGCCACCAACAAGAAGAGCAAGAAGATTGACTCTTGGATTGATGCCGTAAATGGTCAAGACTGGCATCAGAGGCAATTGCTCTCCGGCAGCTTCAAGAAGGTCAAGCACAAGCCACCCTATGGCAAGACATGGCTTAAGCAGCTCTTTGCTGGCCAGATGGGACTTTCCTTGTTGGCCATCATTGTTGGACTCTCCATCGGCATCCCTCTGGACTCATCTACATCGATGTGGGATGCGAACACCTCCAGTGGCTACAAGAGAGTCTGCCATGATCTCCAAGTTGAAGATCCCTACCTGACGGTGATCACACAAGCATGCGGCCCATGGGGCAATTGGAGCAACTTCAACTTAGCCAAAGGTGGCCAGGCCGCCATGACGGTCATGGATCTTCGAGAGAGCAATCGCCAGACCCTCGCCCTCGTCAACAAGATCGTCAAGGATCGGGTGCGTGCCAAAAGACACATCTTCATTGAACAGCCTCTCGGATCAACTTGGTTGAAACAACCGGAGTGCTCGGACATCCTCCGCCTGATCCAAGAAGGCATCCTCCTGGTCTTGCGCGTTGATGGTTGCTGCGTTGGTTACAAGGACCTTGAGAGCGGTTTGCCCAACAAGAAGCCTTCGCTCTATGTCACCACCTTTTTGGCAGCTGAAGGTATTTTCCAAGGCCTACTTTGTGATGGTTCACATCAACATGAACACCTTGAGGGCAACAACAGATATGTCTCCAGAACCGCACAGGCATCAGTCTGGCCTGACCGACTCAACGAACAGGCTTCTGCAGAGTCAACAGCAGCACACAACATCTCCGAGGCCTTTCCTTCTGAAGTTCGACCAGCTGAACAACCAGCCGAAGGACATGAACCAAAACGGAGAAGAAGAAAGGGAAGAGTGTCTCAGTTGACCAGTCAATATGGTGCACCACCTGTCTACTTGCGCCCAAGTCAACCTGCACTACCAGATGCAGCTCCAGTTCCTGCGCTACCTGACATTGATGAACAAGAACCAGTACAAGATGATGCATCTCTACGAGCATCTCAGGTGGCACAACTGGACCCCGTCCTCAACATCACAGAGGGCGAGAGGCGCAGAAGGTGGCTCACCATCTCACCAGAGATCAGAAAGATCCTCCGAGACCTGCATGTCCAGTTCGGACATCCCACGAACACCACACTTCAGCGGATTCTTCGTCGGCAAGGAGCCGTTCCTGAAGCTCTACAAGGTGCTGATCTTTTGAGTTGTGACGCCTGTGGCGACAGCATCCGGCGAAGAAGGCCAAAGCCAGTTCGGCTTCCCACCAAGTATGTCTTCAACCACCATCTCCAGATAGACGTTTTCTACGCCAGAGATGTGACTGGTGCTTCGTTCTCCTTCCTCAACATCGTTG